ATAATATACAATATCGGGCATAATCGTCTCCTGTCCTGGACATACATTTTAAGAGAGAAAATTGGTATTTAATATACCCCGCTAAGCAAAAAAAAATCGGGGAGTAGTTTTGTGCGTTTTGACTTCAGACTAGAATTCGTTTCAAAAATGCTGCATACTCTTGCGAAAATAGATCCAAGATGCGCTAAGAATCCTCAAATCGATGTTGACTTGAGATTGACGATCTTTGACTCATATTTTAAAAACTCTTGTCATTGCGTGATAGAGCCTCCTGGTTTCCACGTAAAATGCGGACATTCAAAAATAATGCTAGTTTTAAAAACTGTTCTAAGTCCCTGGCTCAACTTGTAACATGCGTATATTGAAAGCCGCTTTACGTTTTTGGCCCAATATAAAAAATCGGTTTTTCTGTAGATCTGCGACGTCATCGCTATTAAAAATTGGCACTATTCAAAATCGCGGTCCGAAGATATTCCATCTCGCTAGGCGTTGAAACTAGGGCTCGGAATTTTTAAAAATCTGATATTCGAATATTCGTTTAGTGGTTTATTCGAATAGTAAAATTATTCGAACATTCGAATAATCGGGTATTCGAATATTCGAGTATTTGAGTATTCGATTACTCGAATATTCGAGTATTTCTATTCGTTTTCGTTAGATATTCAAGTGTTCGTTTTCCGTTCACCGTTTTTCAAGAAGAAAAATCGTTATCTCATATCATTTTTGGCAACTAGCCGCGACGGATAAAAAAGTGCCTTTGTCGGCACATTAATTGTTTAGACCGCGCAAAAGTTGATGACGCGTATCACGAGAACCCAGAGACGTAATTTTACATTCATTTGCAGGAGAGTAAATATGATTATTTTCATTTGCTTGTAAATATATGGATATTTGTTTAAATGCTTGTAGAATATGAATAATTTATTTTATAAAAGTATACAAAGTGCATATAAAGATATTTGCACCTTGTGAGTTTGATAATGTTGGTGTATTCGAATATTCGATTATTCGAGTATTCGAATATTCGAGTTATGACTACACATAATTATTCGCCTTTCGAATACTCGAATTATTCGAGTTTGATTCCGAGCCCTAGTTGAAACCAATCAAATAAACATCGGATAATGAAAATGTAAATAATTATTTATTTCATATCGCAATTCTGCGATATTCTTTGAATAAAAAACAGACGGTCTGGCCTAACTTTTATTAACGGTAAGCCTAACTATTGATCGTAAAAGTTCTTCAAAAATTTACCTTTTTTGAAATATCGAGAGAATGGTACGATGTATTTTGGTGAAACGCGCTGTGAGTTTGTTCTTATGTAGGACTCATATTTTGATAAAACAATCGAGTTCAGCCGTTTTGTAGTAGAGTACAGAGAAGTAGTGAAAGTGAGAAGAAGTGTCGTGGTACAAAAACTACCAGAACTTTTCATTTGGTGGATGGAATCAACTAATTTTTTTTTGTTGATGCACTAACCATTTGTTCACATTGCATTTATGCTCTTTCTAAAATCTTGTAGAATTCATAGTTTTTGAGCAAAAAATATATGTTTTCTTGCCTCTTAACAATGGTAGACATTAACTGCAAAACGCGTACGCTTTAACGCAAGTTGTCTTCGCAAAACCCTAATACTTTAACCATGTCGATCACTTCTTCATTAGAAATGGTCATTTGAAACGAATTTGTGAGATTGATTACAACAAATTGATTGATTACAAACATAAATATTTTTTTTGTAAAAACTATGAAAACTGTAATGCTACCAGATTTTACAAAGAGCACAAAATTATGAATAAGTGATTTCAACCAAAAAAAAATGAGTTGATTTCATCCACCAAATAAAACTAGGTAGTTTTTGTATCACAAGACTCAAGAATTCACCATTTGTCCAAAACGGATAAACTCGATTGTTTCATCAAATTATGAGCCTTCCATCAGAACAAATTCACAGCGAGTTTCGAAATTCTCCCGATATTTCAAAAAAGATAATTTTTTTGAAGAACATTGACCATCAATAGCAGAGGAGCCAGACATTTTTTATTAATAAAAGTTAGGTCAGATCGTCTTCTTTTGATGCAAAAAATATCGCAGTATCATTTTGATCATGTGCTTACGGGACACCCTGTATAACCACAGTATGTATATTMCGTACGCTATAACTTTGGTTGCACGTCATCRGTGACGAAATTTGACCACTAAYATAAAAACAATTAAGTCGATTTTTTGGGTTTTGTTTTGGGCATTGGAGAACCTCAAGCAATCAGGAAATGTGAAAAAACTTTAGAATRCTAAATYATTAKGTTGGTAAAAATTACAATGCTGCCRAATCGATCGTAGATTTATCGGACATTTTTTAAGACACATGACGTTTGCTTGYTGCACTTGTCACTGGTCATGCACTTGTCAATTACKTTTGCGTTGACGGTATATTTGTGCTTTTCAAATAAACCATTATTCCAAATAGAATAATCAGAAAAAGCGAGACAGCATTGAGATAATTTAATACTGCTTGGAGTATTTATGTTTATATATATATATAATTTACSGCRGGTACGGCARCAACGCTCGACAGACGATTCATGAYGTGCGACCATAGTTACAGCGTACGGAGTWTATGAGTATATTAGTAAATTAAGTAAGARGGCTTTCTTACCGTCGTTTGTGGAACCAAAACATCTCAAAACTGGTACTTGGCTGACAGAAGAACATCTAAATTCGGAATAAGTTGCGTCTAATCCAAGCTTTGGTGTTTCCATATAATAATCTATCACAATTATTTTAACGGAATTCTGCATAATCGAAATAACTGAAAATAGTATTGCTGTTCCATTATCGTTTGTAATAGACTGCATAAGACAGAACTTAGGAGTTTCAGTAATGCATAAAATCAGAATTAAGAGTTGAAACAATGTACTTATTGGCTCATACTCATACCGCCACAGTTGGATTTTTGAAAGTTTTATGTATCAATTAATTTCAAAATTTAATATTTTATGAAACCGTTTCCTTTAAATACATTGACTTACATGAAGTAACATCACAAATACTGTTATGGTTAATTACCGCCTGACGATTTTAACTTAGTTTTTTAAATACTAGACTTGATATTTTTGTGATAGATGTTAGATATTTTAACTTTATGCCCTGTTTGTCACGATCTAATTTTAATCTATTGTGAAGTTAAGTTTTACATTTTTCACTGTCATTGACTCAAAAAATGTTTCAATTTCACTAAGCTCAAGGCTAAAAGCCCTCTGTTTTCCTTTCTAGAGCCCTGAGAATGACTTAAATATAGTCGAAACGTCGGCCCATGAAAAAATAGTCTTTTTTTTGCCACCATCTATTGACCGAAAAAACCCACAAACCTAAATAATTTCTCATATCCATACTATTTACTTACAATTAAAAAATCCAAAGGCACTTTGGAAGTTTTCAACTATAAACAAATATTGAGGTTAGGTCAGGATTCATTCGTTTTGCTTCTCTACAATTCGGAGAACCACTTGTTGAGTGAGCTACAAATCTAATAAATATTTTTCTTAACGGCGTTCAAGAGGCGTGCGAAAATTACTAACTTTTAATACCGAACTAATAACAAACTGATCTGAAATATGAATTAAATCTATTCAAGCTAAATTTATTTTACAAGCAATTCTTTTTGAGGAAGAAGGAGAGTGCAGTTGCCGATTGACAAATGTTGTCAACCTCTTCTTGTATTTTACAAAGTCATTGTGAATTTCAAATACAAAATACAAGTGACAGTAGCAGTTAGCAGTCGTTTTGTCAGTTACTTCTTGGTATACCAGTTATTGTTTCTTTGTTTTATGCAATTTAGTTTTGTATGTCCTACTTTGTTGAATTGTGTTAATGTTCACATTTTTATATTAGTTCAATTTAATTCTCATAGCACTTTCTTTTTCGCGACATGGACGATATAAAGGTGAGTTGATTGGATATGTTACAGACCGTATGTAAACAGACGTGGTATTTCATATATATGTCCCGGAGATTAAATCGATTTGAGGAATCTTTCAGGGAAATCTTTGAACAACCCACCCTTTTCTTACACCCAATTTTAAGGGTACTTCCAGCTAGAACGAAAATAAATGCCCAGCTAAAACTGCATAAAGTCTGCATTAACCGGACTGTAGTCCGTTCACTAATGGACTAGTCCAAGTTGGACCGTATATAAACAGTCTAGTTCTTTTACAAACCGACTAGTTCCTTTGTTGAAGGACAAGTTTGTTACACATATGAACTGAAATCTTCAGTCCGTTTATATGCGGACCAGTCATTTTATATAATGCCGGTTTTACACATACAGCCTGTAACATATAGACTAATCTAAAACAATGTTTTTTGTGTATTGTATTCCATGTCAAACCGTTGATCAAGGAAATTAAAGTAATAGATAATCGAGATTAATTCCCATACCATCACACGTAAACATGCTTGTAAAAAGTTATTTTGTATTGAATATTATCGAATTTAATGTTCAGTTTACATTCTAACCGTTCATGTTATAGTTTTTTGTCCTTCATGATAATGTTAGATCTTTTGGAAGTTGTGCAATATGACCTGAACTTTACTTACTTTATCTACTTTACTTACTTTATTTACTTGCTTTTTTTACTCAGTTCCCTGATGCTAAAATATTAACTTGATGACTCAACATTCTTGCGTTCCTTCCAGACATGCCGAAAACAAGTTTGTAGTTGAGATTTAATTGTTTTTGTGAGCATATTCATCTTGTTAAGACGCTTCACAAATAATCTTGCAAACATTTCCGGAGAAACTATGGATTCTAAAAGTTTGTATAAAGATGAATAAAGTATGATTTCAAATTAGTCAAGAAAGAACCTGTGTTGTTTTACAACCTTTCGAACAAGGAAATGATTCAATTTTTATAAGGTTTTGACCAATACCATAGGTCTAGGTATTGTATCTATCTATTGATAGATAGATAATCTATCTATAGGTAATCTATCGACTTCCCCTCGATTCTGGATGGAAATATAAAATAAAAAATTACTAACGATTATTATTTACCTGTATTTCTGTATGGCTTCTTATTACAAAGATGATGGTACGTATGTTTATAGTCTTTGACTTAAGTATCTTGATGTTTACGCTTTTACTTAATGCCTAAGAAAAAAATACCGCTGTGTGTTGTGTACTTTATTTCCACCCTTGACTTAAATTACGCACATTTGCACAACTTCTAACAAAATTCGGGATATGTACTGGGAAAAGGGAATTCATAACTAAAACATATTTGTTTTGGTTTGGCAAGGCACCAATTCCACAGATTATGTTCTTGTGTTTGCATCAAGACCTTTTTTTTTCGATTTGTTTTAGAATGATTTGAGGGCTCCAGATGCTGAAGAACAAGTTTTGGGTAAGTTTACATGCAGTTTTATATTCTTTTGTAGATGATCTAGCAAATCATATTGTAATATAATTGATAAATGTAGCGTCATTGTGTAATAGTAGTTTTCGGTTGGCGAATGAACGTAAAATGTAATTTGCGTGCATATTCGGTCATGCTGAATTCATATAAAATAGTGTCTTTCAACTATGCTTCTGGTTCTAAATTCCCCTGTTTTATTTTATTTTTATCGGTTTTAGCGTTAAGTACAGAGTATTCCAAAAAATAAACACAAACCTCATATATTTTTACTCGAAACGTTGTATTGTTCGCCCAATTTTAAGTTATGACATCACATTTGGATTGGCACATATTTTCTGGTTATTTGAACTGCTTTAAATTTATAAACGGAATTTTCTTTAGTACAAAAATGTATAATTTATAATAATCTAAAATACAAAAAGAATGGAATGCTTAACGTAAAGTTAAACTAAAGTCATTTAGAACAGAAAAAATTGTTCGTTTGTAGTGCAACTTATTCTGAGATATTTCAACTATTTTAAAACGACAAGCACACATTGAACACAATGGAAATGTTGGAAATTTGTCGTAATTTGACGATTTTATAACCTTTACCTGCCTAATATTCGCTTTATGAATACAAAATTGATTGAATAGGCACAATGGTTTTACATTGGTTTCACTCCTCTGAGAATTCGTTAGAAAATACGAAAAAAATGGCAACGTTTTTACTTGAGTATTGGTAGTAGAAGATGCACTTTTAATGTTATTATCTATTAATCATGATTTGAAAGATTCAGTTTTCATTGATCAAAATAAATAATGGCAACTTGAATTTGGTTTGGAGATAGGAACTAGGATAGTTAGTAGAAGATAGTAGAGTCTGGTAAATTAAAAATGCGGAATAATTGCGAATATACAGATATAAATATTTGGTGATTTAAAATTGGCGTCACTCCTTTTAAAAGGTTACTGGGATTTACAGAAGAAATAGTGCCAACGGTTAAAAGCGTTTTGAGTTTGATAAAAGCAAACATAGAATAAATAACCATTTAAAGGTTTTGCACAGATTGTTCTTAATCTGAAACTTTTGAAATAATTCCGCAGGTAATAGTTTGAAGCAGGTGAATCAGTGATGATGTTTTATCAACATTTTTTACTAGAAAAAGTTTCTTTAACATCAAACTGCAATATGAGATCCAAAGATTCTTGTATTTGTTGAAAACTGATGTTGTGAAGTGCGGTTATAAAATAACGTGTAGGACTGGCGTAGTTCTGTTGTGTAAGGCACATTAAAAAAGTTGTTATTGGAAAACGCTATTGAAAATTTTAGTTTTGAAACTGTTGAAGATCAATCAACTACCTTATATATAAACTAACAACTGCAATTATTAATAAATAAAATATAGAGGACTTTTTTGCATGCATTATCGTGTGATAAGAAGCTTTAAAAATGTATTTTTCCGTTATCCTTTTACAACCCCTCCAGAGGAATGACGTCAATTTCAAAGCACCTTGTGTATTAACTACCTGAAGAATATAAAGTTGGTTTTAATATTTGAAATTTGTTCCTTAAAGGTGTGGCAGATACTTCAGGATATTGTAACATGAGCGCGGAAAATGGGATTGTGGAAGAAACATATTTTAATGCCGACTGTACTAAAAATGAAATCTGTTTTGTTGACCCACAGGCGGATTATACTTTTGAAATCTCATCAAGCGCAACAGATAATATGTCGTGCTCTGTTGATCCTTTGTCTAGTGGTGATAGTTGTGAAAATGACAAATATTTAATGAGATCTTATGCAAATTTGCAAACCGTTGAAGGTGGAAATTCGTCTTGGGCGAACATATTAAATCCTAATGAAGAGTTAAGTTCAAACTTTGAGCTAGCTTCATCTGAAACCTCAAGTGACAGTTTTCACTCTAATACTTCCGAGGGATCAAATTCTAATCTTGTTCCTGATGAGTCTGAAGACGCAATGGAAATCCTGGCAAGGACTCTCAATCAAAGTATAGATCTTGAGAAACCTATAATTTGCGACGTTGATGAATCGCTTGACATGTCAGATACGGGTTCTCTGGATGAGACTATAATTGATGGGAAATATATTAGCGATACTGAGGATGCTAAATTATCTGAAATATCATATGCACTTATTAAAAAGCATGCCGTAAATATTGAGAAAGGTTTAATTATTGAATATGATGAATCGTCGGAAACTTCCATATCACCACTTGTAATCGAAACCACATATGTAGACCAGTCTTCGATTATTGAACCTAGCGAACTCCCTAAAATATCAGATACACCCCTTATGAACCGAAGTATAGATGTTGAAATACCTAAAATTACTGACTATAATGAATCAATAAAAAGGTCAGATTCTTCCGTTTTGAATCAAACAATAAATGTTGATAGACCTATAATTACAGAAGATGATACTCCACCGGAAACACTAAATGCACTTGCACTACATAGAACCATAAACGTTGAAAACAGTTTAATAACTGAATATGATGAATCGGCAGAAATTTCAGTTGCACCGGTGGGTGTTGGAAAGCGACTTGTTGACTATGATGAATCACTTGAAAATTCAGATATATCGCTTGTAAACGAGACTATAAATGTTGAGAATGCTGTAGACACAGAATATGGGAAACTGCCTGAAATATCAGACGCGCTCCCTAGAAATCAAATTATAAATGTTGAGAATCCGAGAATTAGTGAATTTAATGATAAGTCTGATATATCAAACGCACCCTTAGCGAAGACCGCCATCACCATAAGTAATAAATCAACTGAACAGACGAGCGCTTTCCTTCTGAACCGAATTGTAAATGTGGAAAAACCTATAATTGCAGATGATGCATTTTTTCAAAGTCAAAAGGTAAATGTCGAGAATAAGTTAGTTGCTGAACATGATGAATTACATCCAAAAACCGATACTTCTTCGCTAAACCAAACTATAAATTTCGAAAAACTTGCAATTCGAGAAGATGATAAGGTGACTGAAATATCAGATGCACTCCTGAGCCCTCCAATGATAAATGTAGAGCAAAGCATCACTACTGGAAAGTATGAATCGCCTGAAAAACCAGCTGCTCCCTTGATAAATCAAACTACAAGTGATGGGAATATTTCAATCACTAGATATAGTGATTCACCTGAAAAATCAGGTACAACTGATCTAAACCAAACTATAACTATGGATAAACGTATAATTAGAGACAAAGGCGAAGGAGTCAAAATTTCAGATTGGCTCCATGGGAATCAAACAATAAATGCTGAGAAATTTTTAATTCCTGAAACGGATGAATCGCCTGAAAAACGAGATTCATGTTTCATGAACAAAACTGTACGTGCTGAAAACATTTCAATTAGTATGTATTCACCAGCGCCTACTGATCTCAACCAAACTATAACTATGGATAAACCTGAAATTAGAAAAGATGATAAAGTCGTCGAAATTTCAGATGGATCCCTTGGGAATAATAGAATAAATGTCGAGAAATGCATTCTTCCTGAAAAAGCGGAATCACCCGAAAAAAGAGAAGCACGCTTTATGAACCAAACTCTACGTGTTGAAAATATTTCAGGTACTACATATAGTGATTCACCTGAAAAACCAGTTACAACTGATCTAAACCAAACTATAACTATTGATCAACCTATAATTAGAGAAGATGGTGAAGTCGTTGAAATTTCAGACGGACTCCTTGGGAATCATAGAATAAATGCCGAGAAATTTATAATTCCTGAAAAGGATGAATCGCCTGAAAAACGAGATTCATCTTTCCTGCACAAAACTGTACATGCTGAAAACATTTCAATTAGTACGTATTCACCAGCCACTACTGATCTCAACCAAACTATAACTATGGATAAACCTGTAATTAGAGAAGACAGTAAAGTCGTCGACATTTCAGATGGATCTCTTAGAGGTCATAGAATAAATGTCGAGAAATGCATTCTTCCTGAAAAAGCGGAATCAGCCGAAAAAAGAGAAGCACGCTTTATGAACCAAACTCTACGTGTTGAAAATAGTTCACTTACTACATATAGTGATTCACCTGAAAAATCAGATACAACTGATCTAAACCAAACTATAACTATGGATAGACCTATAATTAGAGAAGATGGTGAAGTCCTCGAAATTTCAGATGGACTCCATGGGAATCAAACAATAAATGCTGAGAATTTTATCATTCCTGAAAAACGAGATTCATCTTTCATGCACAAAACTGTACGTGCTGAAAATATTTCAATTAGTGCATATTCACCAGCCACTACTGATCTCAACCAAACTATAACTATGGATAAACGTGTAATTAGAGAAGATGGTAAAGTCGTCGACATTTCAGATGGACCTCTTGGAGGTCATAGAATAAATGCCGAGAAATGCATTCTTCCTGAAAAAGCGGAATCACCCGAAAACAGAGAATCGCGCTTTATGAACCAAACTCTACGTGTTGAAAATATTTCACTTGCAACATATAGTGATTCACCTGAAAAATCAGATACAACTGATCTCAACCAAACTATAACAATGGATAAACCTGTAATTAGAGAAGATAGTAAAGTCGTCGACATTTCAGATGGATCTCTTAGAGGTCATAGAATAAATGCCGACAAATGCATTCTTCCTGAAAAAGCGGAATCACCCAAAAACAGAGAATCGCGCTTTATGAACCAAACTCTACGTGTTGAAAATATTTCACTTACAACATATAGTGATTCACCTGAAAAATCAGATACAACTGATCTAAACCAAACTATAACTATGGATAAACGTATAATTAGAGACGATGGCGAAGTTGTCGAAATTTCACATGGACTCCATGGGAATCAAACAATAGATGCTCAGAAATTTATAATTTCTGAAAATGATGAATCGCCTGAAAAAAGAGATGCACGCTTAATGAACCAAACTATACATGTTGAAAATAGTTCAGTTACCACACATAGTGATTCACCTGAAATATCAGATCCAACTGATCTAAACCAAACTATAACAATGGATAGACCTATCATTATAGGAGATGGTAAAGTCACTGAAATTTCAGATGAACTGGTTGGGAATAAAACAATAAATGTTGAGAAACGTTTAACTCATGAAAAGGAAGAATCACCTGGAAAACGAGATGCAACCGTTATGAACCAAACTCAACATGTTGAAAATTTTTCAGTTACTACATGTAATGATTCACCTGAAAAATCAGTTAGTACCCCTCTAAACCAAAAAAAGAAAGACATTTCAGAAAGTTTCCTTGGAACTGAAATGAAAAATGTCGAGGAAAGTATGACTGCCGAAAAGGACGAATCTTCCAAAAAAACAAGCGCACCCCTTATAAATCAAACGATTGGAGTTCAGGACCCTTTAGTTAATAATTATAAAGATTTGCCTGAAAAATTAACTACTACTCTACAAAGCGAAACTATAGATGCTGCCAAACGTATAATTACGGAATATGATATAATCTCTGAAACATCAAATGTGTTTGTGAATAAACCGATTGAAAAATCAGCTGCTCCACTAATAAAGTCAAGCATAGATGCTGGAAAATCTTTATCCCCTTTAAGGCAAAGTGTAGTTGTTGAAAATCCTGTGAATACTAAATGTAATGGATTGTCTGAAACCGCAGATAAAACATCAGATGCGCATCTTATAAACCAAACACTAAATGTTATGAAACGGATAATAACTGAGCATGAGGCATCGTCTAAAATATCAGGTGTGCCTCTCCGTCTTGAAGTAGTACACAAGAAAGTTAACGATTTACTACTGGGAAATAAAGATGCTTCACAGATTAACAGTAAAAATATTGTCGAGCAGCTTACTAAGAAATTCAATGAATTAACTAAGCAAACTGATATGCTCGTCATTAATGCGGATAAAATCAGAAAAAATATTGCTCAAGCTGACCAAACTATACTTGTAAATGTATTGGACGTTGAGGCAAAAGTAGGAAAGCTTAAAAAATGCCAGTAAGTTTAATATATATTTTTTCGAATCTAAAATACCGATAAGCTTGCTATAAGTGACACTTTGCACTTTTTAGAAACATTTCAGAACAATATCAGCTACTAGTTTCTTCTCAAAACAGAAAGGTAGCTCTGACTATCCACGCATCTAAGGAAATGGAAAAACCTCTGACGGACGCACAAGCTAGATTGGCTAGTGCCATGCAGTAAGTAGGAATTTTAGATAAAATTCAGTTCAGTACATTTAAAATCAACATTCGTCGTCTAAAAATAATTCGTGTGCATTGTAATAATTAATCGTTATTTAACATTGCAAGCTAATTTTCTTAATATCGAACTTACTTTGAATGTGCGGATATTTCATATAAATTCAGCGAAACGACCTAGATCAGCGTTGATTGAAACAATCTGCAATTGTATTTTAAATACAATGGTTTTATTGTAAAAAAAATTGTCGTTGGTAGAACACTCAATAAATGTTTATCGACGTATTCAGAAAAAACCATATTTTGAAACAAAATATTTCTTTCTGAATTGGTATTTGTTGCTAGTACTGAAGGTTAACTTTTAATTATTCAACTTAGTTTTTTTATTTTCAAAATCAATTGATTGTTCAAAAATAATCCAATATTTTGTGATTGTCCAATATGTTTATGTTTAAGTGATGAATAATTACTTGGGTGTTTGATAAAGCCGTTAATCGCTTGTGCGTGAAATTTGCAGTTTAGTTGTATATTTTATAAAATATTATCTTTTCTCGTATATTTCCCTATATTTTTTATATGGATTAATAGATTTAACTAAATTACTTACATGAACCACACGTCTTATTATTTTTTCCTATTCTTGGAAAAACTGTATTTATATTGTTTATTACAGAAGGTATGGAAAAGCTCAGGCCCTTATTGAGAGCCTCAAACAGAATGAAGAAATAACGAAATCAAATATAAAAAATATCGAAACTCAATTATCTAATATACGAGAGAAATGTCAGCGTATTGAGGACCAGTTCGAGAGCAACAAAAAGTAAGTACAAATATAGAACTATTTAGTAAGTACATACATAATTTTTAACTGAATAAGCAGTGGGGCTAATGCAGTAAGCTTAACCTTCGTACAATTTTTTCGGGTTTTATCTTAGTTTTATAACAGGACTATGCATGTTAAGATCTTGCGTTAGTCTTAACATTCTTATTAGCCGCAGCCTGTAGGATTTTCGTTCCAACGTTTCGGCGGAATGCATGGTCAGCATCCTCAGAGGAGTGTTCGCTTCAGGTTCAATGCTGTTCAGGCGGCGGCGACCCGAAAACTGAAAGTTCAACTCATGGACGGACAAGTCTTAATAGTCCTTCCAGCAACCTTTGATATATGTACTCTGAAATTATGGAATCTTAGGAAGTATTTTCATTCGAAATTTTTAGTGTTTATTTGTTTAAGGTCACAAAATCGGCTCAGTCAAGAAAAGGAAAACTATCAAAATGATATTGCAAAGCAGCAAGCTATGATCAAAAGATTAAAAATTAAAACTTTATCTATGGAAGCCCTAATCGAGCAGAAATCCCAGGAATGCAAATCCATCGCTACGTTATGCGAAGATATTACTAGAAAGCATCAGCTTGAAACAACAAGAAAGTGTAACGAGAATTTGGATAATGTATAGGAAAATTGAATTTTAATTGTTGAAACGAGAATTGCGGTTTACGAGAGAATAATAATAATTACTGTTAATTTTTACGAGAGGTTTACTGTAAAAGTTGCATCCACTATTGTTGTGTTGGAAATGCAAATGGTAAACTTTCTAACTTATTTTGTAATACAGCCATTATTTTAGTGAGTTTGTTTGATTTCAATTACGAACGATCAAAAAGCTTCAAGGAAATTGGTAAGTTTTTCAAGACACCCAGCAAGGAGACCGTATTGTAAGTAAAAATGTTTTAAGGGCTCTGTTAGATCGCCGCTTTTTGATATTGTAAATATAGTCGTTATATTTCTAACGATTTGCGAGAAGTACGATAATAAAACGTTTGTTTACATAAACAAATGCACCGGAGAATTCAAGAAATCAAACTAACGCAGTAAACAAACTACGTTACAAAACTGTTCGCGAAAAACGATAATTTCTCTAAACAGTTTGGCAAAGTGGGTGATTCATCCTTAGGGGTCTATTAAGTAATGAAGGTGTATTTTTAAATAACACTTCTTTTATTTCAAATTGGTTTTAATAAATATTCTGATTCTATAAAATTCACAGTTAAATACTATTAATAAACATAACAAATAATATGAAATTATGTATCAGTTAAATCAGCAACGTTTTTCAGATGCAGCGTCGAGAAGTCGAATATTTCGAGAGAAGTCATTTGCAATTTTCTGTACTTCTTCTTGATTTGCAGTTATAGCTTTGTCTACTGTTACGCCGATTTGGAGTTTATTGTCGTAACTGATAATTCCAAAGGAAATTCCTGAAATATACATTTATTATTGTTAACTTCAATATTTGTTGACGATTTAAAGTCTGCACACTATTTGTGTATTTTTGGACCAATTAGGGTTAAAATATATTCCAAATCTGCATCACCAATTCTACAAAAATTTTGAAAGCTTCTCCTAAATGATTCACCACGATTTAAAGCACCACTATCATCTCTTTTAAGATCATGTAAAAGATTGCTTCTACTACATATGTTTCTCGACCTCAGGGCACGACGAATCCAAAAGCTTATTTCACCCTGAAAAATAATAACGCACGCCGCTGCAACAAGCAGCGCTTCTTTTTTACTCCACGAGTTCATATCACTAACTTAAGGGTGGACGAAGCTCAGTTATTTCAGCATCTAGCTATAACAGTGTTACATGACCACGTTATGCTACATAATTGTAATTTGTCTTTATGAATGTGCTTACTCATATGCAAGTAGTTTTCCCTATACCTACATATAAAGGATAATATTATTTCCACTTACCAATTCGTTTGGCATTGGGAGCTATAGGAACCACTTTTTCCAAAATGCATCCATCAAACATCTCGATTCTAGAGCCACCTGGTATGTTGGTGAGCATGAAAGTTTGGGCGTCGTATCCCATATAATTCTCCATTAATTTAATTGGCACAAAACCCATTGCATATCTGAGCAGCCAGGCGGAAATCTAAATAGATGATATGATTGTGCTTTATTTCAATCTATCAAGCCGTTAATGATAAGAAGTTTGCGTTTCTTACGGAATATGTACTTTGTTTATTGATAAAAAAATAAAGCTTCTGGGAAAATTACCATGAACAATTGCTATTTCGAAGATGACCAGGTAAAACAATATCAGACTTAAAAGATTATTTTTTAATCAGCAATAAAGGTGTCGACAAAACTGTTAAACTGTCAAAGCTTTAACAAAAAAGGAATTAGCTATCAATTGGAATTTCTTTGTAAAGAAACGCTTCCATTTCGTTAATTATTTATATGCAGAATTTAACAGATTCAATGTATGACGTCGATTTTTAAAACAGTTTTCTGATATTTATCAAATCGCAATAAAATAGGCTATTAATAAATAATAACTCTGTGTAAAGTATTAATCACATGTGCCTCAGAAAATAGAGAGGGCCATTTAAAAATTCCTGTTTAATCAAAAGAAATAATAATAATGAGTCTCCTTTGAACGAGAGAATCTGATGAAGTTTCATACACGTTTTCTGGTGTACGAAGCACGTTTCTATATATCACACTCTATTAAATTAATTTGATAAATTTATTAATTTACTGACTGTTGGCAAAAGAATATTTGTGTTTTTGTATTTGAACGTCAATACAAAAAAATAAACATTTTTTGTTGGCAAAAGTCAAAAAATCTTTCATCATTTGCAAATAATTCGATATTCTTCAAAAAAATGATTTAAGAATTTTGTAACATAGACACTTTTTTATTAGGTATATTTTGAACACGATAGCAGGTTTGCTAAACACCAAGATAGCTTTTTCTAATTGATTTCCCTTACTATAATTGGAGTTATAACAGCTTGCGCCGAAGTGTGTCGTAGCATTCGATCTAGAAAAATATGAGCATTCGTTATCGATTCGTAATAAAGTAAGTGTTCCTTTAAAATTTCTGGAGTTGGATAGTGTTCCGTTATCGGACAAGTTTGGGAAACCCTGCGTTATAAAGATGCAAAAATGATGCTTTACTCTCTCAACCATGAAGATTTTATGTACAATCTCCCATATACGTCAATTAATGCATATCTGAGATTAATTGGGATAGGCAATAAGATGCCCTATAGAAGCAGAGAACTTTATACTTACGATGGCATCGGTGTATTTTAACTGTTCGTTCATTGATGCTGTAACCTTTCGTAAGGAGTCCAATATATTGTTGGATGTATGACATGGTAGCGAGTAGCAAAGACCAGCAGCTTTATTGTCTAATACGACGGGTTTAATTGGATCTATTGATGGGAAGTCCAGGAGTAATGCCATTGCTCCAGATATGTGTTCTGGTACAGGTAACTTATTCTGAAATAAATAAAACAACCATACACAAGTCAGTTCGTAATAAAGTAAAATGGAAATAGTATAGTTTGTCGGCCAATTCGTAGCGAGCTGTAAGATATGAACGATTCAAGATATTGTTAATTACTTCAAGTATAGCTACAAAAAAATCAATGTTTTTGTGAACTTGAAACAGAATAGAATTTATTGCTAAAGAGAACTGAAACAAAGTACATTCGTTTTAAAGTTTCTATGAGTATGAGTCTAAAATCATTCATTTTCAGTATAAAGGGAGCGTAATAATAATGCATAGATATGTAATTCTGTAACATTTATTTGTTTTATCAAAAACAGTTGTAATCTGTTTGAAAAATATCTATAGGTACATCACTTTCGTTAAATTTAAATTGCTGAATGGTATGATGGAGATTTATTTTTTATGTCGTAAACGAAGAGAGATTCGAATAAATGGAAGACGTAAAATAGTGTTAAAATTTAAAATGTGAAACTATTTTCTGCCGAAAAATGTTTGCTATGTCCTGGCGCCACACAGGATCACATTTTGGTTTTCCTTGTTTTAAAATCAAATAACTTTTGATATTAGCTCAAATCAATTAATTGTCGTGTTTTTTTTAATGGGGCTTAGGTAATCAGGAATCATCGCTCATATTAAATAAGGCCACTTAAAGATATCCAGATCAGGAAAAATTGGCGAAGTTGATCAATTGTGCAAATATCTTGATCTAAAAAAAAGACTTACTTTATCTTACTGAATATTGTATTTTAATAATTTGTAAACCTAATATACGATGTATTCGATTAAACTTGACTTGCTTTAGCAGGAGACTTTTATATTCCATGAAAGTTTTTCCCGTTTCATAAATGAACACAACTGTATAAAAATGCCAAAATTAGGTTTTCATAAATCGAATTATTCTTCTTACCCTTTTAAAGTAATCCACCATACTCGCTGATACTGCAGTGCTAATTACGCAAGTAAATTTCGATTTGGTTCGCTCTCTTATTCTCTTCACCATCATCAAACAATCCGATTCATCAGCCCAAACGGTAATTTTTTTTCCAGAGTAACTGGTACGGTGCAAGCCATTCACATCGTGTTCCCGCAACTGACCATTTTGAATGAGTCTTCCAAATGCGAAAAACACAAGATCGAACGAAAAATTAATGGTTCCAATAATTTTTTTCTGAAATTATTAACTGAGTTAAATTTTGAGGGACAGTAATTAATTTAAACAATTTACTACTAATATTTCAAGCGGCTCGATTCCTGCTTGATGATGATGGGCAATAGGTGGCTTTATTAATTTTTTAAATAATTCTTCGGTATAATTTTGGGCTGTACTGTCACCAAAGAGCCGAATAAACAGGGCAACCAGCGAAGTACCATCGGCGATGGAGTGATGAAATCTAGCTATTATGGGATAACAATAGGAACCATCCTAAAAATAATACAACAGGTAACTTCAATTGATACAAAAAAGTGAACCTAATAATTGAAATTACATGATTTTAAAAATGTTTCACTTGTATCGAAATACTCAAAATTAAGTGTCGCTGTGTACAGCCGAACATTAAACAACAATAGAACTAATTGTAATAAGTAAATAGGCGTAGGCGGTTATGAATAGGTCATAGACTAGTAGATTTATCTAAACATTCACTCCGCCAAATCAAATGTTACTTTTCGGGTCAATGTTGGGCAATTTCAATTAAATATGGAGATATCATGCAACATTGTAAAATTTAAATATAAACTATAGCTTTAATGCATCAGCAACGTCGGGGTATAAACAGCTACTCAGGAGTCGGTAGGAGACCACAAATCAAGCATTTTTGCTTAAAAATTACATGGCAGTTATGTATTAATAATTTATTTTGCAAATAACTGGTAAAGCTGGCAGAAATAGAAGAGACTAAATTGGCAAAAAAGTTACTAAATTTAACCAGGAATTTACGAACATGTTGTTAGGCTTCAGTGGCGTACCTACTACAAAAAAGTTCGGAGTGGTAAAAGGGAATGTTACTGAATGTTCTTAGTTTGTGCTAAATATCTTCAACATTACGAACGCCCGAACGGAAAATATAATAATATAATACCGCAAGACTGGCTGATGTTGGCGTTTGTTTCCCTGCAGAAAAAAGCACATGCCAGGCAATGCAGGGACTATCGCACAATCACACACGCTGAAGATTTTTCTCAACATTATATATAATAAAATACACAAAAGACTGGAGAAAGAGATCAGAGCAACACAATTTGGGTTTCGAAGTGGGTAGGGAACTCGAGAAGCACTGTTTGCTTTTAATATCTTAGTTCCAAGGAGTTTAGATGTAAAACAGGATGTATGAATGTTTTATAGACTATCATAAAGCATTCGATAAAGTCAGAGACGACCAACTTGTCGAGATATTACTGGAAAAACAGCTTAATACCCGTAAGAACAATAACGAATCTTTACTATAGCCAAAGAGAGCAGAGATTCGAGTTGAAACTGTATAACCGACGAAGTCCAAATTAAAAGGGAAGTTAGGCCAGAGATTAGTAGTAGTCAACTAATCTCTGGTTAGGCAAGGTTGCGTGATGTCGTCATTGCAATTTAACATTTACTCGGAAGAGATTATGAAAAAAGCGCTAAATGAAGAATAGATAGGTATAAAAATAAACGGAAGGCCTATAAATAATATTGGGTATGCAGACGATACGGTTCTAATCGCAGAAACTTTAATAGACCTTCAACAAATTTTAACCAAGGTAGTTACAGCAAGTGCGGAAAAGGGTCTGACACTCAGTGTTAAGAAAACTCAATTTATCATTATCTCGAAAAAAACGGAGGGTCAGCGGTGGCATCTACATACATGATAGCCCCATAGAACGAGTGCAAAAGTATGACTACCAGGGAATGAGCGTCAATAACAACAATGACTTCACTCAGGAAATCAGAAAACGAGTTGAAAGAGCCAGGAGTCATTTTAGTTTAACGAATTATGAGTAATGTTTGCAAGCTTAATTGTAAGTATTATATCCTTGCTCTTTCATCCGCTACTTTTATCACCTGTTAAGGTCGTTACACATTATAAATATATAAAATTACTATTAATTTAGGTTATCACTCACCGAACTAAAATCTTCAAGCGGTTTTTCGCTGATATAGAAGTTCCACAATACAGAGTCATTGTTATCGATTTTAGTTTCAATGATTTCAGCAGTAGCTTTCTTCAAGTATTCTTCATTGAATTTTCCACTCTTTGGCAGTTTCAAAGATTTTACCACAGAATCTGGCTTGCAGCCATACTTCTTCCAGTAAGAATACCCTCCAAATGAGTACTTTGTTCCTGTTAGTTTCGGATACGCGTCTGAATTACCAAATATCTAAAGACAGTTTTTAAATATATACCTACATTTTTTATATTGCATTATATTTTTCAGTGTTTAAGGCAAAATGCCTTTTGCTTGTTCAATCGCAAGATAAGTAATAAAAAACACATTGATACAGAGATGTATAATAATAGAATCTCTAACTAGATATCCAAACCAGACGGAAACTGTAGCGATCCAATTTCAATTATGTTTTAGGCTCTTCTTTAGACACGCTTTATCATTTCGTGTGGGTATTCAAGTATTTTAAATCAATTTATATTCCCAATAGTAGTAGTTCTATCCTATTACATCGTATCACATAGTTGTAAATACATATATAGAAGCAAGATGGTTGCACTATTGTAGTTTGTAGTGACTTGCTTTTTTATTTGCTAATATAAATTAAATTGGTAGATTTTAGTGGATTGTTTTACCTGTTTCCTTATTACAATTTGCACCTTGTTTAAGAGATCAATTTCGCTTTTACTCTTAATATATAATACGGTGGTCAGAAAAAAAGGTGAAACATCAGTCCAAAAGAAAACCGTATCATTCAAGTTGAATAGGCCCCCATACAATTTGCCATGTATTATCCGTAGTATTATATCAACTATTTTCCTATATACGGCGAAAATCGCCACAACAGGAAGTAAGACAATCCATCCCACAATATTTATGAACAAAGTCTTCAATAGGTTTAGTTGCGGTGATGTCTGAAATAAAAAAATATATATTGTTATAGAAAAAATTTTGAAACCAAATACACGTTACTAAACGTGTGCTTAACTAACTGAATTACTTATCCGTTTGTTTAGTGTATATACACATACAACATACTTTAATACCTGTACAATATTTGTTATACTGTATATTATTATTTTATTTTATTTGGTGAACTATAATGAGTTTAAAAAATCGGCTGAGGTATTTTTCCAAATACATATTTGTAAATTTTGTTCAAGCAGTCTTTTCCTTTTGGATGATCTAGTAGTTAAACTCGAAAAAAATTAATACTGTTTTAATTTGGAAAACTTGCACATTGCAAGTTTTCATTGCAATATTTGTAAAATTGTGATGCTTTCCTTTAGCTTATTTTTTTATATTTAATATTTAGTTTTGCGATTATTTTCACCGAAATGAACAGCTAACTAAAATTAAACAGCTTAAAAAATTTATAAGTTTAAATTAAATAATTATAACTAGAAAATTTCGAGTTTTCAGGAGTGGCAAAATAAATCCCGGTCTCTGGAATATCTTGAGCAGCACAAAGTTTAATAAATAAAGTTGCAATAATTAATGAGAAACTGTAGCTTTTATATTTAAATCCAAACACAGTTTTAATATTTATTTATGTTATTTTGTTTTAATACAAGTCTTACCATTTTGATATAACTCTTCCAACGGTTAAACACAAACTATTGAAAATTGAATGAGTTCTTACTTAAATTATTTTATTATTTATACGTCTTATCAGGCTAAATGAAGTGCCAGACTTTATTGGTGCTAAGTTCACGTTATTGATAGATAATACTTGAAGATATTTGTCTCAAATGGTCTTCACGGTGTAAACATCAAAGCATATTTGCGACATTAAAAAAATTTTTTTGTCAATTTTCTAATTATAAATATTTATTATACATTTCTCTAAATATTGGTTAATTGGTTTTTCCGCATAATACATTGTGCGGTCAAGTTTCTGGATCAAATTGCCTTTGTAAGAAAGGAAACTCATCTTGACGGCATTTGGTGCTTTATTTTGTTCTTTTTTTTTATTTCTTCATATATCTTCAGCGGTCTTYTTACAAATATTGCAGTAATTGTGTTTGCAATGCGACTATTTTTGTCCTTGTACTCGGGATGCTTGACATTAAGAAAACTGATGTAGTCGAAAGTAGGTTTAAATAAAATTAATTGAGAAGGCTCTCTAACATCAGTGATTTGAAAATATGTTGGCAGTTTGCACGGAAGGATTTTATCGAACGAATTACCCCGGAATTATTATAATTATTAGTAGTAAATATGTTTCACGCATGCCGCTGCAAATTTTGAGTTTATTATTAATATGTGTAGGCTCTTAAATGGGGCTGCGGCTGCCCTGCTTCGACTTAGTCAGATTTAATACGATTTTTCTGAGGGAAAGGTTAAGGAAAAAGAATTAAGAAAACATTCGTGTTATTGCAATAACTGCTTTCATAATTCCGCAAATACAAAGTTGCATTACACAATGTCAAAAGTTCAGTATTTAATTAGGTTTATCAATGTATGCAGTGATAACAGCAACGAAATATTTTGTCCATACATAAGAAGGGAATGTAAAAAAATTACATTTGTGATACTTAAAATACTTGTGAAAAATGTCATATTAGAATTACGGAACTTACCAATGTTAATAACTTACGATTCGATCAGCCATAATAATAAAATTGGTAATAATAACCACATAAATCAAACTAATTCCTCTTGAATGAATGAGTTAATATAGCTATATTTGTTGTTACTGTATTTCTTGATATAGTAAATATAATTATTTTTTTGTAAACATCTGTATTTTGAGTTATTAACTCAACTAACTTCAAAAATTATAATTCCTAAATAGTTCGGTAAACTAGGTGATTTATCCTTAGGGGTCTGTTAAGTAATGAAAGTGTTATATTTTCAAATATCTCTTCTTTATTCACAGTTCATTTCCTTCATAAACCTACATTAGATAAAAAGACGTCAGCATGTGTAAAGACATTGAACTAAATTCTAGTTTTAATAAATATTCTAATCCTATAAAATTCACAGTTACATACTATTAATAAACATAACTAGCACATAAAAAATAATATAAATTAAAGTTTCAGCTAAATCAGCAACTATTTTTAGATGCAACGTCTAGAAGGCGAATATTTCGAAAGAAGTCGTTTGCAATTTTTTGTACTTCTTCTTGGTTGGTAGTTATAGCTTTGTCTACTGTTACACCGATTTGGAGTTTATTATCATAACTGATAATTCCGAATGAAATGCCTGCAATAAACACATATATGTATAATGATAAATTCAACCTTGTTGACGATTTAATCCTTCAGTTAGCTAACAGTATTCAAGACTAAATGCATGTCTGATGGGATTAAAGGAAACAAAGCATGTCGTAATTTGTATTTATGAAGAAACACTTGCATTCAAGTGTTTACTCATAAATTTTCGCTATTTAATGTAAAATATTATTATTTTCGCTTACCAATTCCTTTGACATTGGGAGCTACAGGGACCACTTTTTCCAAAATGCATCCATCAAACATCTCGATTCTAGAACCACCTGGTATGTTGGTGAGCAGGAAAGTTTGAGCGTCGAATCCCAAATAATTGTCAATAAATTTAACTGGCACAAAACCCATTGCGTATCTGAGCAGCAAGGAGGAAATCTAAATAGACAATATAATTGTGAAGATATAATTCTAGTCAAGCCGATAATGGTGAAATGAATTACGAAAAATTTAGCTTATTGACAAAAAAATTAAAGTTTTAGAAAAAATGGCAATGAACAATTCCTATTGCGAAAGTGAGCAGCTAAACCAATTCCAGACTTACAAATATATTTTCATTCGACAATAAGTGTGTCGACAAAACAAACAAAAATGTTTCAAGTCCAAACTGTTAAACTATGAAAGCTTTTGCAAGAAACGAATGGGGATTTATTTGTAAAAAATGCTTCCATTTCGTTAATTTTCTATATGCAAAATGTAACAAAAATTAAATGTATGACGTCGATTTTTAACACAGTTTCCTWGTATTTGAGCAAATTGCATTAAAATGGKTTATTAATAAAGTTATAAATAAAGTTTCATACACATTTTTCGRTGTACAAAACACCTGTCTAYAAATCACCCTGTAMRTWAAATTATTTTTATTATAATTTAGGYTKATACATATATTAATTKGCAATGACTACATTAAAAAATATTGATTATSAGCGAAGGAAGGTCAGRTGATATTTATTGRCCWGCRAAATAATCTACAACTTATCATGTTGGATTTGAACTGAMAGCTGWAAATATTCTAAAAATTAAWWWTTTTKAACTWTTTTGGATAARTTAGCTACTGAACAGATCATGGACAGTGYGCCAGTACAAAAAACWAACATTTTTTGTTGGCAAATCTTTCATAATTCGCAATKTGCAAAAATTCGTTCTTTATAGAAAGATAAGATAATTATCCATTCGTAGTAAAAGACATCAGGAAATTCTGTCTGTTTAAAAAGACACAAAACTGATGCAAAATAGCCAACAAAAATTTTGGTTTTGAAAATACGCATCAGTCTAAACAATATAGAACTTATGTGCTCACTCCCGTACATGTCGACAAATGAATATCTTAGATTAGTTGGAATAGACACTAAGAGGCCCTCTAGAAGCAGATAACTTTATACTTACGATGGCATCGGTGTATTTTAACTGTTCGTTCATTGATGCTGTAACATTTCGTAAGAAATCCAATATATTGTTGGATGTATGGCATGGTAGCGAGTAGCAAAGACCAGCAGCTTTATTCTCTAATACGACAGGTTTAATTGGATCTATTGATGGGAAGTGCAGAAGTAATGCCATTACTCCAGATGTCTGTTCTGGTACAGGTAACTTGTTCTGAAATAAAAAAAACTGGGATAAGCTAATTGTTGTTAATTCAGTGCTTGAAAAAAAATTAAATCTTCAACAGCTCTACTTTATACTGGCATGTGCTTTAAGCATACATGTTTATGCATAATTATATCAAATAGAAATTAATCAACTCCAATCGAATTATTCTTCTTACCCTTTTTAAGTAATCCGTCATGCTCGCTGCTACTGCAGTGCTAATTACGCAAGTAAATTTCGATTTGGTTCGCTCTCTTATTTTCTTCACCATCATCAAACAATCCGATTCATCAGCCCAAACGGTAATTTTTTCGCCAGAGTAACTGGTACGGTGTAAGCCATTCACATCGTGT